AAATTGGATCTGACTTTTGGGCAGTGACACTTTGAACCAACTGTTCATTAATTCACATTCAGATGGCTTCCCTGGGCCACAAGTTGTGCTGAGCAGCCTGGCATAGACCGGGGACCTGACCAGTTCAAATCGCAGGTCCAAATTCAGCATGCATGCATGATTTAAATACATCTAAATGGCAGATGGCGGTAGAGCTGACTCGTGTCTGTCTCCATGAGAAAAGCAGTGATGTTAGGGAAGCAGAGGATGAGGGTGTGTATTAGAGTGAGCAATGGCTTGGCTTGTCTTTAAGATTACTTTTCCTCTTAAAACATTCACTTCATCTGTGTCACTCCTGCTCCCAAGTTGTTATTGGAAAATAGGAAAGGTGGAAAACCATTCAATGCCGGGACTGTCTGCATCAGTCACACACTGACACACACATACACACAGAAAATACATTTCATCCTCCATATCCGAAACAGCCAATAGCACTGGCAGGCATTTGCGACCCCAATCCATATTTCAATTTCCCTCCTCTCATGCAAACTAATTCAATACTTGTTGCCTTCCCTCACAAGCGATCGGCAATGTGAGAAATGAGCTTCTTCTCATGCTGCATCTATAAAAGGCCCAATCAGAGACATTTTTGAGTGGGTCTCTGCCTATATCAATTATGTCTTAGTAGGCTGGCACACAGGCAGAATCTTGGAAGAAGCATTAGAGGATAGAAAATCGGTGCTCTGCAACATTCTCACCACACAAAATGCAGATAACTTTTCTCCCCTATTTTCTGTACTCAGAATGCATTCAACCAACATTAGTTACATTTAAAACTCACATTTTACATCACACACTCAGTGCTTACGTCAAGAGCTTAACTACTCATGTTTTCAAACCAATTAAATAAGCACAGTGGGGTATCAGTCGAATGACTAGTTCAAGTATGATATATGTAATTCGATATTTGACCCTTAAAGTGGAAATCAGCTTAAAAACCAAAATTGTACATCAATTTTTTTCTATCAGGTCCAATTTGTGAACTTGTAAAAGTCCCTCGGAAAGCCAGAAACAGACACACCAAAGCCGAAGGCTGCGATGCCATTGGCCGACACTTTTTGGAACTGATCCACCAACACAGCTCAGGAGACAGACTGGCCGTAGTGATGAGCCCAGTTTTACAGAAATTTACATATATTCTCTTAATCAAGCTCATTAGTGAGGAAAAACTCACTTTATTAACTACAATGGTTTTCGGAATGACTGAGCCACTTCCAGTGACTCTCTCCTCACAAACTAGTATCTGAAGCACTAACTGCTTTAGCATTTTACACTGTGACAACCTAGAAAAGACTTCTCCCTGCAGCGACATCAACAAAGCAATTCCCCAAAAGCACACAGCCAAATAACAATATGTGTAAATAAATACAGTATGGCTAGCTGAGTGCAGCAGAGTCAACCTGAGAAGTGGTGCAGTGCAGAAACATTTTGTTTGTCACTCTAAAGCAATCCTCACTGTTAACATGATACTACCGTCTCTTATCGATCCTTACATTCTGTCCTCTTTCGATGCCTTCTGCGTTAGATGCTGAAAATACACAAGCATGTGTTCGAGTATGTACGCACCAACATAACCGCACTTATTTAATGTTACTGAAATAGGAAAAGATGAGCAACAACACCTGCTCCAACTTAGGAGCCTGGCTGCACTTTTCCCCACAACTCTTTGGCCGTGTAAAGGGAGAAGCAGGTAATAGCGACAAATTTAGGGGCTTAAACGGCGACAGCTTTACGATGCCTGAGCGGCCTCTATGACTCCATTCCTGTCAGATTCTATTAGCTCGATCTCCACCGTGTGTTTCGATTGGCTCTTGGCCTATTCCCAGCAGCTACAGAAGCACCTCCCGTAAATAAACCAAATGGCTGCATCTTGTAGTGTATGAAGAGGGGGGCTCTGGGCAGCTGGGCACTTGTGTGTAAAGAACATCTGACAGAGTGGTTGAATAGTTTAATATACAGCACCGAGCTGAATGGACACAGTCGACTAGAGGGAGAGCTCGACACACATCAGCGTGAGAGTTTAAATTTGACTAGTGTTTAAGAAGAATACAAGCAGCCAGGCGAGAAAAGCACTTCTAAATCAAGACAAGTGGTCTCATTCCGCTCCACACACACTCCTATAAACAAAAGAAAAAGTGTGTCTATCCGCCAGCTGCCAGGTGGAAGTCTAAGGAAAGGCCACCTGTCTAATAACTGTTTTTGATGTGTACAGCTCAGCAATATGAAACTGAGCATCTGGCCTGTCCCCTCCAAACTGATCTTGTTAACAGAATGCGTATCTGTGTTCCTCTTATATAGAATTTGGGTGAACCACCCAAATAGGTTTTCCTTCCAAAAAAACATAATTTTGTGTTTATTAATTCAACCAATCTTCAGCTTCCGAATGTAATGCAGTTTTGCCACCAACTTTCAGCTACCAGATGTCCGCTTGATATTTTCATAAGGAGTACATAGTGTACCCCTCAGAATAAATCGTTTTAAAAACCAAATACCCCAAGAGTAAAACTAAATGGAATAATAAATTCTACTAACAATTATTAAAAT